AAATGATCAACTTTCAAAATTTAAGCTGTAATGGATATTTTAAAAAGTCAAATTAGACAGAAGTAGACATGTTTAACCCCGTCATGATTGCATTCAGGTAGCTGCAGTTAAAATACAACTATGTTTAATTAACTAAAACTGGTGACATGAAGTATTAATCTAGATAAATTGTGGTACAGAACAGTAAGCTAATGCTTCACAATGGTAAAAAAAAAAAAAAGTGTTGCATTTTCATCAACTTACTGGAGAAAACACTTCCGAAACACAGAGTGTGAACTACGTTCAATGCTGGAACTGATGCTGTTTGGAACGATGTGCGGCTGCATGACCCACGTGACTTCCGCATTCCATTCTTTCTATAGAAGTCTATGGGAGTGTCCCAACTCTCTCTCTATACGGCTCTGGGCAGCGCTTCATACGAAGCTGCAGCCTCCGTGCACTTCCATCTACCCTTTTTGGATGGCTGCACTGGAATGTATTTTCGCTGCACTTAACTGTGCAACGACAATAAAGTTGTTTCTGATTCACATTATAATCTGTGCCCTCATTTACCCATTCATACAGAACTCTGCTAGATCTGTACAAAGATTAATCAGTGCTTAATCACACTCATACACCGAAGGGACACACACTGGAGGCAATGAGGAGTTCAGTGTCTTGCCCAGGGACACTTCGGCATGTGACTGCTGGTGGAATCGAACAACCAAATGTTGTATTGGAGGACGACTGCTCTAACCACTCAGCCACAGCCACCCTATCAATACAGACACACTGGACATGATCACCTTTTTTTTTTAGCTGTGGGTGATAACTGTTATACATTCAGGCTCTTTATCCTTTAATAAAGTTTTAAAAACATTTAGTTAGTCCAATACGTCAAATAGATTTAAACACGTAACTTCTTACAAGGGTCATTGTACTCAGACATAAAGCAGCATTATTATTGTTCTAAAAATATCCTTTGGATGTTCCTTTTTTGTTCCCTCTTCCATCCAATTGACTTCGGTCTCTTTAAGCAGCTTTGAGCTTCATTCTGAACTAATGATCTTTATTCATTGCCGTTTTATTTGATTCTCTAATCAGTGAACTGAGAATGCTTCAAAGTAATAGTTACCTTTTTTCCCCAGCTTGTTAATTTGCTCCAGGCTTGAAAAGCTGTGTGGATGTGTTGGAAGGAGGATTTTAGAAGCAGGGGATCACCTTTGTGAGTCCAAGACTAGAAAATAAAATGTTCTCAATACATGATCATATGTTTAAACCTGTTTAAAAAAATTAATTTCATGTTTTGTGCGTTTGGTTAGGCTGTCAGTGATTAAAAAGTAGCATCAAGACTCAAAGTTGCACCTTGTTAATTTTATTAAGTCACATCTGTTTTTACTTAAACGTGCAGCGTACTAGATTGGGATGCATTTTTTATGATCTAATGTAACATTAGACTGTACAGATTAAAACACTGGTTACAACAGAGGGGCAGGGGTTCTTGTATGTCTGATAAATATAGTTCAGCGTAGCCTTAAGCTAAACACAGAGCATCAAACTGCTGTGCAGAAAGCGGGAATGACAAGTGTGAATGGGCTGGAAATGTGTGTAAAAAGGAGACAAAAGTATTACTTTAACCTCACAGACTCATGCCTATCACTCAAGTTTTTTAAAGTATGTTGCGTTTTCTCTTAATCATTGAAAGGCATGCACAGGAATACTACACCAGCATCACATGGTAATTGGCGAATGTGAGCAACACGACTCAAAATATGGTTGTTACTCCTGACAACCAGTGACGGTGAAAAGAGTTAAATGCCGTCTGTGGACCCCGACTGATCACTTGCTTGATACAATGGCCATGGCAACGTAAATGTTATATAGAAACCTGATTCATTTGATAAAGGGGGCTCTGTTAGGAGTCATTTAAAAAAATACAAATGTGAAGTTTCTTAAGAACCAGCTAGAAATGATGGTTTATGTAAACATGAACATTTTCCCATACTAACAACTAATATTGATGCTGTAATTCTACTCAAACAAAGCATCTCAGTCCCACAGAGAGTTATTACTTTGAGTGTAAAAGAAGGCAAGTTTATTCTTTAAATCATGTTTACATAGAAAATAATTGCTACCTCTACCTCTATTTACCACTATCTATCTATCTACCTAGTTCTAGAATTGCGTCGCTCGGGATGGCTGCATGCTCTGTTACTTTCCTTCTGATTTATTGCTTTTGTAAAATTGTAATTCCTCTTGTTGCTAGATGTAAATCACTTTTTTTAATGATTATTTACTCTGGTATCAGATACTGTGCAACTGGAAGGATTTTTACTGAAACCTTTTTACTTTTGAGCGTTTGTTATGATGCGTAACCATGGCAACAAGTGTTATGTTTTTTAACAACTACGAGCAGCTGATTATCATCTCAAAAGCTCAAATACCTCAGCTACAGCTCCAAATCCCAAAATGAGTTGAAAAGGAGGAGCTGTGGACGATTTCCCGTCAACCTGGCAGCGGTACTTGAGTACCTGACCACTGAGATCATGGAGCTGGTGGGAAACTCTGCTCGTGATAAAAGGAGGACCAGGATCACACCCTGGCACCTTCAGCTGTCTGTCCATGGCGACGAGGAGCTTTCGGGCAGTCCTGCTGCCCAGGAGGACCGAGAGGCCTGCCAGATCTGACAGCAAGCTGGATCCAGGTGGACAGATCGGTATCTGTGGTGGCCAGATTCTTTGGATTCTCTGCAGGAGATCCTTCCTGCCCACCACCATCAGCATCTATAACAACTCTTGAATGAAACCAGGATGATGAGCTACGACAATACTTAATTTCCCTTTGGGATTAATAAAGTATTTCTAAATTAAATCAAATTTGGCTCATTTCTGTTATTCTTTTAACGTCTAATACTTCACGTGGATGAGGATGAGAAAAGATATCATGGTCTGGTGTGGATTTTGAACCCAAAGTGCAGACAGGACTCGGGGAGCTCGAAGGATAAGATGAAGAATAATATGTATTTAACAAAAGGCTGACACGGCAGCAAAAACTTATACGAGGTTTTAACGAGAAACATGGAGGGAGACAGAACATGACACCTTGACAGGACAATTCATGGACAAGAGAACAAGACGCAAAATTTATAGGAACACTAAGGATAATCACGAACACCTGGGGAAGGACAACGAGGAATAGGTGCCAGAGGTAGGAGCTGGAGCTGATTAGCTGGGGCAACTGAGGAAGGCTTGAAACACACATAAACACAAAAAAAAAACACTTAGATCGTCTCAAAAGGATACCAGTCAAAGATGAATATTGTTTTCTTTGTGTGAATATTTGCAACTAACTGTAACATATCTGTATGCCTTGCTGCCTGTTTCAGACTTTAATCACCTTCAAAGCTCCATTTCATACTTGAGCTTGGTTTGTCCAATGTTCCTAAATGTCCTTACAATTTATTGATTACTTGTTGATGATTCCGATAAAATAAGGTTTGCTTTTTGACTTTGTACGAGCTTCTGCATCAGATTTACACCCTGGACCTGCATGACACAAGAACAGCTTTACGTTTTATTGGTGCTGTTCACACTTATGACTGTCTCGTCACAGCACGGTTTGCCTAAAGCTTGTCTGTGAGGAATGATATACCCGTGCAGGTGTGTTTTTTCTTTGGGGTAGGGGATACTCCAGTTTCTTCCCACAGACCAAAAACATGCATGTTAGGTTAATTTGTAACTCTATTCCACCCTGTGTGTGTGTGTGTGTGTCTGAATGGTTTGTCTCGTTTGTCTCTGTGTCCCTGTGATGGACTTGAGACCTGTCCAGGGTGTCCCTCACCTCTCACACAGTGACAGCTGGATGTGGGTGGGTACCAGCTTTTCAATGACTTAGAAAATAAAAGCAGGTAAAAAAAAATGGATGAATTTGTTCAATGTTTAGCTATGAGCTGTGTTTTAGTGCCCTCTTGTGATCAGTTCCTGTCTATTTACACAAAACTCCTTTTTGCTCTATTTTAATAACTCATCATTCACTGTTCCTGTGTAGTTATTTTATGATACTGCATACATTAGTTTGCTACATTTTGCTGCAACTTTTCATTAAGAATGCACATATATATATATAT